GAGAGAGAGAGAGAGAGAGAGAGAGAGAGAGAGAGAGAGAGAGTTCTTCTTCTTCCTCTTCTAAGTCCACCACCTCTCCCTCACCATCTCGCTACCTGACTTCTCAGTATCTGCAGACTACAAGAGAGAGAGAGGTTGGTGACTTTGGGACTTGATGACATTTGGATTCAGACTCGCATTGGGATTGAGACATTGGACGAGGGATTATTTGGGACCTGTACTGAAGACTTGGTGTTGACGACATTCCCCTCTTCCCCTCTTCTTCGTCTGTGAATGTTTGGGACTGGCGCATTCTTCCTGTGTAAGCGCCAGGTCCCTTCACACCATGTGATGATGATGATGTATGCTTGGTCTGCATTGCGACATTGATTGGTCGGATCATTGGTATATTAGCCTTCCACTGCGCTATCTTGTACTATGTAAGAGAGGTCGGTTCTTGTTCTGGTCTGCACCTTTACAGTATGCGACAGTTTGGTATCGGAGCGGGCCTCACAATCAGAGACTCCGCCCAATCAAGAAGCAAGCTTGCTTGATCGACTGATTGCTGAATGATTGATTGATTGATTGATTGATTGATTGATTGATTGATTGATTGATTGATTGGTTGGTTGGTTGGTTGATTGATTGATTGATTATTAGTGAATCAAGTAGGACTTCGTCAAATCTCTGCAATTTTTTTTCTCTTTTTCGCAATTTCGGATATTAGCATTTCGTTTTCTGTTTTACTCTGGGCATATTAGGTGAACTAGGGAGGTTGTCATATTCTCGGACTAGATCTATTCTTCTCTGAAAGTGGAACCTCCAGTCTATTTCGCACAAATTTCTTTTTCAAGATCGCATTTTTGAAAAGCTGAAACTTTGCGAAACCTTGCCTAGATCTCGCTCATAGTATGCCTCTGAAATGCCTCACTCATAGCAGATCGACAGATATACAAAAAAAAAAAAAAAAAAGGGGGGGGCTGATCCTCTTCTTTTATTTTTATTTTTATTTTTTACTCTGTTGATTAGGACCGGGAGGAAAGTACAGTTTGGTTGGTTACCTTCCTGCGTTTTCCCCTCCCACCCAACCCTTTGCCTGCATTCCCGGTTTGGTAAGTGCCACGTCAGCAGTGCCACGGCAGCGGCAGTGCCACGTCAGCAGTGCCATGTCAGCGGTGCCACATCAGTAGCAGTGCCACGTCAGCAACAGTGCCGCTCAGCAGTGCCACGACAGCAGCAGTACCAACATCAGCAGTGCCCCGCCACCATGACGGTTTCAGCTTTGGGCATGCCAGGCCAATTGGCCAACGAGTCCATTGACGAGTACCGACAGCTGTTTCTAGATCAGCTCGCACTGATCGAGGCTGAGTACAGCGCCAGGCGGCAGCCAAGGCTGCCCGCCTACAGGCTGAAGCGGCGGCAGCAGCTGAAAAGCAGCGGCTTCAGGCCGAGGCTGCCGCAGATACCCAGGCCTGCCGCAAGGAGGCCCAGGATCTGCTACAGCGGCACGAAGCCGCCAGCGTTGAAAAGCTCAAGTTCTGGCATTTCGAACCATCCGAGGCCCATGATGACGCCACACCGGACGAGCAGCAGCACGAGTTCCTCTCCAAACTCGTGACCCGGTTAGTTTACACTTGTAACCACCTGCAGTCCGAGTTAGAGAAACAGCACCAGGACGTGGAGAACCTCCGACGGGCAGTGCGGAACCACAAGGATCTGCACGAGGGTGCTACACGGGCACTTGATTCCCGTGTACAGGACTTGGAGCAAGCAGCACCAAGACCAGACGCTGGGGAACCCAGCAATGCAGCCTCAGCCCGCCAGTTGGAGCAACGAGTTGACCATGCAGTTGCAATGCTCGGTGACATCAGCACCTTCGCCGCACCAGCCACCATCAGAGAGCAGCTCAACGCCTTGAAGAACAAGGTTCGGAAAGTGCACCAGCTGCCCGAGCACGATGGCAGCACCAGTCCGCAGCATTACAAAATGCCGATATTCCGGATTGAAAGTTTTGATGAATACGCATCAAGACCCGGTCCCCTGGTGGGAGGGCTTTATGACGGAACTTCGGATTCGTCACGTCCCCGAGCACTCGTACATCAGGGCGTTGTTCCTCAACTCAAAGGGCGGATGCCAAATCTGGCTCAGCCACCTGGCAACCATCCACGGCGTCCAGGTCGCCGATCTACACAAGAAGATCTCGTGGGAAGATCTGACAAGATAATGGAAGAAGCGGTTCATCGTTGACGACGCCCCGACGCTCGCCATCACCGCCTCTTCAGCATGACTCAAGGCAACACACCAACACGTGACTGGCTCACGGAGTGGCAAAAGATCGTGGCAACGCCCGATCTCAACTTACCATTTCCACATCTGCGCCAGGAGTTCTACAACCGGTTGTGTGCCGCCTTGAGCCTCGCACTCGGTGATCGAGAACAGTATACGACCTTCGCCGAGATCATTGACAAGGCGCGTGAGATCGTCAAGACCAACCGGACTGCTGCACACGGGCATGTCATGGCTGCGAAGCAAGGATTGCCCGATAAACTTCTACCGCCGCACCGTTCACGTTCCTTATCGGAACGGAGCACTGGTCCCATGCACGGTGCCTCCACCTCACCCTTCGATCAGCTGCGCAAGCATTCGAGCTTCCATCACCAGGGACGACATTGAGGAGATGGGGGTGTGTTTTCTCCACGCCCTCCCTCCCCATGACATCCCAGCAACGGACGCATCAACGGACCCACGCATCACCGAACTTCTCGACGCCTACGGCGACGTGTTCAAAGCCCCACACGGAGTAGTACCGGATCGGCCCATCCGCCACGAGATCATCCTCGAGGTCGGGGCCGTACCTCCGCGTGGTTGCATCTACCGCATGAGCGAGGAAGAGTTAAGTGTGCTACGGGCACAACTCGACGACCTTCTTGAGAAAGGCTGGATTCAGCCAAGCTCTTCGCCATACGGCGCTCCCGTTCTCTTCGTCCGAAAGAAGAACAAGGACTTGCGGATGTGTATCGATTATCGCAAGGTCAACGCGCAAACCGTCAAGAACGCCGGCCCTCTCCCACGCATCGACGACCTCCTCGAACGGCTGGGCGGCGCTAAGTTCTTCTCCAAGCTGGACCTCAAATCAGGATATCACCAACTCGAGATCCGATAGGAGGATCACTACAAAACCGCGTTTAAGATGCGATATGGGCATTTCGAATGGCTGGTTAGGCCTTTTGGCCTTACAAATGCCCCGACCACATTCCAAGCGGCTATGACAACGGAGTTCCGACACATGCCGGATAGATTTGTACTCATCTACCTCGACGATATCTTGGTGTACAGCCGGAGTTTGGACGAGCCTGTGGAGCACCCGCGCACCGTTTTGGAACGACTACGACAAGCCAAGTACAAAGCCAACTGCGACAAACGTGAATTCGCACGACAAGAGCTCAAGTACTTGGGCCATTATGTGACGCTGCAAGGCATCCGTCCGCTCGCGGACAAGATCGAGACTATCCGTGTATGGCCCGAGCCCACCAACACCACGACCGTTCGCTCATTCATGGGGTTGGCGGGCTAGTATCAACACTTCACCACCGGGTACTCAAGGATTGTCGCACCATTGACGAGATTACAATCGCCAAAGGTGCCATTCGTATTCGATGACGACGCGCGCCGGTCATTCCAAGCACTCAAGACGACCATGCTTATGGCACCCGTCCTTAGCATCTATGACCCCACCTTGCCAACGAGAGTGACAACTGACACTTCCGGCTATGGCATTGGGGCAGTCTTGGAACAGCACGACGGCGACGACTGGCAACCCATGGAGTATTTCAGCCACAAAGTGCCTCCCATCAATTCACTTGATGATGCAAGGAAGAAGGAGCTGCTCGCGTTCGTGATGGCTCTCAAGCAATGGCAGCACTTCCTCCTTGGGCGTCGTAGGTTCACATGGGTCACTGACAACAACCCGTTGACATACTACAAGACGCAGGATACAGTGAGCAGCACGATCGGACGATGGATGTACTTCATCGACCAATTTGACTTCACACCGAAACATCTCGCCGGCCTCTCCAATCGCGCAGCAGATGCACTCTCACGAAGACCCGATCTTTGCGCTATGACACATCATGCCTTCGCGTTCAACGAGGAACTTTAGCGGCACCAGCCCGATCCAGATTTCGCCACGATATATGCGCGGCTATCTTCGGATCACCTGCCGGCCAGCCATCACAACGAAACATCTCGTCGGCCTCTCCAATCGCGCCACAGATGCACTCTCGCGAAGACCCGATCTTTGCACTATGACACATCATGCCTTCGCCTTCGACGAGGAACTTCAGCGGCACCAGTCCAATCCAGATTTTGCCACGATACATGCGCGGCTGTCTTCGGATCACCTGCCGGCCAACCATTATCGCATCACCGACGGGTACTTGCTTCTCCACTCGCGAGGGAAGGACTTATTGTGTGTCCCACGAGACCGTCGTCTTCGGACTCGCCTTCTCGGCGAGTACCACGACTCGCGACTCACCGACCATTTCAGTGTCAATCAGACTATCGCACGACTTCGGCAACGATTCCGGTGGCCCGACCTCATTACCGATGTCACTCGGTATTGCGACTCTTGTGAAGTTTGTCGTCGAAGCAAGCCCCGCAACCGCAATCCCTACGACAAGTTGCGCCAGTTGCCCATCCCACGGGAACCCGGCCTCTCCATTGCCATGGACGTCACCGGTCCGTTTCCCCGCGACCGCCTCGGGCACGACGGCATCCTCATGGTCGTTGACCGATTGAGTACATATGCGCGATTTTTCTTTTGCAAGTGCTACGCCATGGCTCCCAAGCTTGCGCGCCTCTTGCACACCGGCGGCTGGATTTGCAGCCACGGCGTACCGGAAGACATCGTCAGCGACCTCGGCACTCATTTCATGTCGGCATTCTGAACTTCTCTCATGCAGGAATCCGACACCAAGATGAAACCAAGTTCGGCTCGACATCCACAAACGGACGGCCAAACGGAGCGGGCACATCAAACCGCTCAAATGATGCTTCGTACGCTCATCCGTCCGGATCAAAAGGATTGGGTTGACTGCCTCTCCGACATCGAGTTTGCCTACAACACTTCGTTGCATTCGGCGATCGACGTGACTCCATTCGAGTTGCACCACGGTGGCCGGAAAGGCCGTATCTTCGCTGATCTTCACCTTCCACGAACAACTGACATAGACGCCTCTTGCTCTCTCGCTTCCGTCCGGAAGTGCAGGGAATTGCTGGCTCAAGCCCGCACGAACGTGCAAAAGGCTAAACTCTGCATGCAGCAGCAAGCCAACAGGCGTCGCGTGCCATGTCCCATCCACGTCGGTGATCTGGTTTGGGTCTATGCGGAAGAGTTTGCACTCGAACAAGATCTTTCGTGCAAACTACTCCCCAAGTGGTTTGGACCATGGCTCGTAACATCATCCGCGGGCGAAGAGCCCGATGGCCCCTCATTTGTGATCAACATCCCCCCTCATCTGACGGCCCATCTAGTCTTTCACGCCTCGAAGCTGGCGACATACACACCAGCTAAGAGCGACGACTTCCCGGGCCGACAATCACAAGACCCTCCATCTATGGATGGTCATCAGGAAGTCGACCGCGTCATCCCGGATCGCAAGTACGGCAGCAAGCCTCGGCAGTACAAAGTTACCTTCAAAGCATGTGATCCCGACGACACTCGATGGATTTCAGGAGCAGATTTGGAAGCATCCGCATTGCTGATCTACGCTCACTACGAACGACAAAGGTTAGCTAAGGAAGTTTCACGACCTGCCCCTCCCACCCGGACTTTGGTCCCTCCCTCAGACAGGCAGCCTCGCTCTCGCAGGTAAGCTCGGTCTTTCAAGGAGGGGGGGGTGTGGCATACTGCGCATCCACACGGGCCTGCAGGGCCCAACCAGACCGAAAATAAAGACCTACAGGCCCCGTGTCGTTTCAGCCTAAAAGCCTGAAAACGAGGGCCATTTTCAGGCCCTCATAAAGCCGACCTGCCCTGAAACTCAGGCGCCAGACCAGGGTTTAGCACATGCCATTTTTGGGCCTATTTCAAGACAACCTTTGTTGAACTTCAACGCCGGGGTCTAGCACGTTTCGGCACTGGCAAGAGCAGCCTCCCGGACGGGCCAGCACTATATAGAACTGGCCCGCCCTGCAGGCTGCAGGTAGCTCATAGGGACTTCCCAGGCAGTTCACGGGCACTTCATGTGCAGGAGGCAGGAGGCAGGACGCAGTCATTAGGATTCGGCAGCAGCACTCTGGAGGAGCGATGCAGTAGTAGTAGCGTTAGGAGTAGCCTTCAGCGTTGGGCGCTATTAGGAGCTAGAGTAGCGTTGGAGGGAGAGAGAGAGTTGGCGGAGGCCAGGGAGACTTACCTGTGGCGCCATAGCTCCAGCTTCGTCTTCGAGGTACCTGCAACAAGGCGCCACCTTCACAGGTTAGTACCGGACACACACACACACACACACACACACAC